AATGCTACATAAGATTGCTTTAGATCTAGATGTAATTTTCAGTCTAGAGCGTCCTTGAATGTAACTTCATCCACCATTGGCAGGGTGATGTGTCTTACCAGTCGCATTAATGATGCATCCACCATTGGAGGTGACAGCATCAGACAGACTTTTGGCTCTTTCTGTGGATACAGTTTTGACAGAAACTGTTTTTCATACAGGCCTTTCTCTCTTCAGCCAGATCTATCTTGATTTATAGTTAACCAGTCAAGTTGTGGGGGTCTGGCCACAACCCATTGCATGCTGCCAAGATGCACCAGGAAAGTTAGGTTTATTAAAAAATTTTTATTGTTAAGCGCACCACAAAATGTAGATTTAACATTTAACTGCTTGATTGCTATTATTTTGTAATGCCAAAAGTGGGAGTCCAGACAAAACCTTTTTATTTTTAGTTGTAAATGGGGTGGGCAAATCTGTATGCCCATTGGGAAATATCCTCTCCTCCCTTGTGCAAAATGGAGTTTTTTTATTTGTGGGTTTTTTGTTATAATCAATGTTTGCTTTCTCTAGAAGTGTATTGTTTCTAATCTTTGTAAACTGAAAACTTTATGTGCTATCCATTTTGTGAACATCTTTGAGAGATATCAGTCTTACAGTACCTGGACAATAAATGCACTGTTCTTGGAAACACTATTGAGGATCCAATGGATTGATTGCCTCTTCAAACTAAACTAATTGGTCAAAGTGGCCCATGGACAGCACAATAAGTGCAAAAGACTGTCACCAAGAAAGCTTTGCTATGTTTCTGTATATCAAAATGAACAAGACATGTGTAGACAGATGCAGTCTGTTTTCTCCACTGCAGGTGGTACCAACCGAGTGGTACCACAGCCTGGAGAAGAAGTCAAGAAAAACCTGGGTTCACTGTGGTTTCCTAGGTCATGGAGCAGCGTTCCTGATTGGTTACGCTGCATCCTGGCAGCCATCTTTGGTTAGAAGAGCCTTTATAAGTTCCTGTCACTGGTTTTTGGCATGCATTTTTGTGAAGTGGGTAGAGTAAGGAGAGAGACACCATCTGACAGGGAAAGTGACTAACGGGAGGGAAAGGTTCATGACAAGTAGGGACAAGCTAAGGATTCGCCATCCTCAAGGAAGTCTTCCTTTGGGATCGGATCGGCCAGGCCGGACTCAGTCCTCTGAAACAGAGGCTGTCAGTGCATCTCTTCCCGCTGCATTTCTGCATTTGAACTGAACTGTGAGTGTTTTTCCCAAGTGCTCTCCCGCTGGGCTGTTTTTAGTTTGGCATTAAAGTTCTAAGTTTTGCTACAACCGGACTCTGTATCTTTACTGCCGCTGCACCACACTGCACCTCCCCACACATAGATAAGCTAAAACCTTTCTAAGACGGTTGCACAGATTTATGTCTGAATAGAACACTAATAATAATTTTCAGTTTACAGTAGTAATCATCAGTATTGGAAAGTTTACAGTGACAAAGTTTTTAGAACTATACAATAGTATATTTATTTATTAATAATTTTTTTTATGTGACATCAGCTTTTATACATATATTGAGGGTTGGTTATGACAGTGTATGGGAATACTCTTCATATGTACATGTATACATTGTCTGCATCTTTGTAGGTACATGTGTTTTTATTTACTTTTTTTTTAAATATATATGAATGTGTGCACAGATTATATCAGGACCCTACATGTGATGCAGGCAATTGTTTCCTATATGCTTCTTCTCTACAATTTGGGTTATTCATAAAGTTTTATATGATACATACATTTTTTTATATCAGTTTTAGTGTTGTTCAGACAAATCTGCTCAAATTGGTCTTAAACTGCACTGATTAGTAATAATAAATTTGTACAAAGTCCCCATGACCCACATAAATAGAAATGCTTACATGAAAGCCCTTGGGTCTAATAATTTAGCATAATATGTATATTATAAGATCAGATTCTACTTTATTTCAATACTATTTTTTCATCCTTCTGTTACTATGTTAGCTCCGGCACTCTGCCTCTTGTTACAATTGCCAGATGATTTTATGTAGTCATGGTAAATTTACATTGTGTCACTGCCTTATGGGATATAGAGAATGTCATGTTCACCTCTGGCCACTTGGGACTTCAGCCAGTAAACGCATCAGCTCTCAAGTTGTTTATGCGTTCCACGCTGGAGTGCATTACTGAAGGGCTGAGACTGGAACAGTCCTTGAAGCATGGTTTTTAAAGAGAAAGGGCTCTGCAAATGGCAGAGTAACACATATTAGAGCCCCCTTCCTCACCACTAGAGCTAGCTACATCTGCAAAGCGCAGCCAGATTGTGGCGCACTTGCTGGAAATCACAGAGAACCCGCACTTTCGGGTTAGCGGTATAGGCGTGCGTTCCAGCTGATGACAGGAGAACCATGGAGTGAATAAAATGAAGCTCAGGGGCCAACATGGGCAATACATCTTAAAGGAATTATCACGGGAGAAGTGTGGGTAAAGCCAGGGGCACATTTGCCACAAGGCAAACAAGGAGTTTGCCTAGGGCGTCACTTTTCAGGGGGGTGGCAGTCGCCGCCGCCCCCCCCCACCCCACAGAAGTGACACTTAGGACAGGGGATGTTATGTATCTTGCCTGTGTCCCACTTCAATCCAGTCCACGAAGGCACTGCTGGAGGAGGGGTAGAGAGGGTATCTGGTGTCCTCATTTCCTGGGTGGATGAGCATAGATCACAGATGACAACATGATGTGGGCAGAAATTTTCCTTCTGGGTGACATGCCAACCCGCCACTCTTATCTGGCCACACCCCGGGATCACTGGGCAGCCTATGGCAGCCTGTTCCTCCCTCTGCAAGCTCCTCCTCCTCTCCAGTGATTCGCCACAGGATCTATAGCCCAGGGAAAGCATACAAGCAGAGAGGAGGAGCTGAGCGGCAGCACAAGGAAGCTGATCAGAGCGAGGGAGCGGCCGGAGCTGGTCAAGAGGAGGTGAGTGGCTGGACAAGGAAGACAGCTGACAGCTGGTAAGTGTCTGTGCTGTGCAACTGGGATCTGGGGAGTGCAGACGGTGCTGCTGCAGCCAAGTATGCTGGCTGTGGATGAGAGAGGGAGTGAGCCGGGGCTGGAGGAGGGGTCAGCAATGTAAACATCATTGGTGTCAGTGGGAGGAATAATGCCCTATCATTAGTGTCAGTGTGAGAGGAATAGTCCCCCATCATTGGTGTCACTGACACCAATGATGGGGCACTATTCCTCCCATTGACACCAATGATGTGGCACTATTCCTCCCACTCACAAAGATGACAGTGCACTATTCCTCCCACTGACACCAATGATAGGGCACTATTCCTCCCACTGATACCAATGAAAGTGCATTATTCCTCCCACTGACACCAATGACAGTGCACTATTCCTTCCACTGACGCCAATGACGGGACATTATTTTGCCCACTGACACCAATGACGGGGCACTATTCCTCCCACTGACACCAATGATGGGACACTATTCCTCCCACTGATACCAATGACTGGGCACTATTCCTCCCATTGTTACCAATGATGGGACACTATTCCTCCCACTGACACCAATGATGGGACACTATTTCTCCCACTGACACCAATGATGGGCACTATTCCTCCCACTGACACCAGTAATGGGGCACTATTCCTCCAAATGACACTGATAATGGAATAAAATAAGAGGTGGAGCTCTAACAGGAAGAGGTGGGGCTTAAAGAGAAAGGGGTGGACCTTAAACAAGAAGGGGTGGGGCACATTTAGATGCTGGGGGGTGCCGATTTTAGTCTTGCCTAGGGCAGCACAAAACCAAAATACACTACTGGGTAAAACAAGTCTTATAATAATAATAATAACTTTGATCAGCATCTTCTACTTGTATGATGTTTGGGGTATTTAATGTGGATTCTGCTGCCACATGTGGTTTTACTCATGTGCTATGGACAGTGTTAAAAACTTATATATTGCATATCATTTGTGCAAACCCTCCTTATAAAGTGCATGTTACAACCAATGTGCAGATATCACATATACAATTTAGTCATCTTGCAATATTTCACTCTCAAGTGACTATTCAAATACAAATTCAAATGAATTATGCAAAGTCCTCATTGTTTAAAAAGTCAATATATTCTCATAGATAGATATTCATGCACATTCCTGCCTGTTGAAAATCAGCCCTGTGCATTCCTCCTCCACCAACACACATATATACTCTCACCTCCTGTATTTGGCCTATATGTATTTAGGTCAAATAGCGCTTTTCCCTTATAACCCAGGGAGGTGGTGTGATTTCCTTTTTCTCTCCAGCCTCTTATCTCCTCCACAATCTAATCTAGATCGATCCTCCTATTTTTTATACAGCGTATCATAAGAAGTGCACGACTGGGACACTGCAGTGTCTGTATTCACTTTCCAAGTCCAGCGTTCTTTGGTCACTCACAAGATGGCTTGACATCATCGGCCCACCCTATGCGTTACGTCACAACATGTCTTCCCCTGCAGTGTGTCTGCGCACACAGGCTCCTTATCTGGGACTGGCAAAGTCTCCTCTAGCCCTCTGTCTGCAGGTAGTCTACAGCTCACTCTGGCTAGTGGCGCAGAACTGTTTGTTGAAGTTTATCTGTATATGTGGGAACATATGTAGTGTCAGCAGCAGCATAATATTGGAGGGAGGGATTGCTTCTTAGTATAATTGCACTGAAGTATATTGTGTCCACATGTGGCTTTATACACATTATCTATCTTTAAGTTCTTACCTGCACATCTATACGATATAAATAATAAGTTTGATGTTAGGGATCATATACAGTGCTTCTTATAACCAATTTGGTTGATGTACAAAAGATGTCTTTTGGTATTATAATTAGAGATGAGCGAAGTATTCAAAAATTCGATTCGGCTGATTCGGCGAATTCGAGGAATAAATTTGATTTGAGGCGAATATATTCGCTGCGAAATTAACTTATAAAAAAGGGTGTTTCTAGGCTTCAGAGAGCCTTTATATTAGTGCAGAACACTGTACCCTTAATTTCAATGCCCTTGGAGTCTGCTGGGGAAGAGAAATAATACTGTCAGTCAGTATGACATGCAGATGAGTGCCGTCGATCTTAGAATCACCGCACACTTCACTCATTTGGGCAAATCCAGTCACGGGGCCAAAACCAGAGTGTGGAGCCACAGTGTGGCGGTGGAGGCAGCAGCAATGGGAGGCCATACAGCACCCTATGACAAAAATGGAACCCACCAGCAGTGTGAGGAGACCTGAAAGTGGCACATGGCAGAGTGTGGCGATGGAGACAGCAGCAATGGGAGGCCGTACAGGGACCCATGAGACACTCTGGACCTGGCAGCAGCATGAGGAGGCGGTACAGGGGCCCATGACAGATTACGGGCCTGGCAGCAGCATGAGGAGTCGGGTACGGGGGCCCATGGCAGATTACGGGCCTGGCAGCAGCAATGGGAGGCCCGTAATCTGCCAGCACCCTATGACAAAATGGAACCCACCAGCAGTGTGAGGAGACCTGAAAGTGGCACATGGCAGAGTGTGGCGATGGAGACAGCAGCAATGGGAGGCCGTACAGGGACCCATGAGACTCTGGACTCTGGACCTGGCAGCAGCATGAGGAGGCGGTACAGGGGCCCATGACAGATTACGGGCCTGGCAGCAGCATGAGGAGTCGGTACGGGGGCCCATGGCAGATTACGGGCCTGGCAGCAGCAATGGGAGGCCCGTAATCTGCCAGCACCCTATGACAAAAAAATGGAACCCACCAGCAGTGTGAGGAGACCTGAAAGTGGCACATGGCAGAGTGTGGCGATGGAGACAGCAGCAATGGGAGGCCGTACAGGGACCCATGAGACACTCTGGACCTGGCAGCAGCATGAGGAGGCGGTACAGGGGCCCATGACAGATTACGGGCCTGGCAGCAGCATGAGGAGTCGGTACGGGGGCCCATGGCAGATTACGGGCCTGGCAGCAGCAATGGGAGGCCCGTAATCTGCCAGCACCCTATGACAAAATGGAACCCACCAGCAGTGTGAGGAGACCTGAAAAGTGGCACATGGCAGAGTGTGGCGATGGAGACAGCAGCAATGGGAGGCCGTACAGGGACCCATGAGACACTCTGGACCTGGGCAGCAGCATGAGGAGGCGGTACGGGGGCCCATGGCAGATTACGGGCCTGGCAGCAGCAATGGGAGGCCCGTAATCTGCCAGCACCCTATGACAAAATGGAACCCACCAGCAGTGTGAGGAGACCTGAAAGTGGCACATGGCAGAGTGTGGCGATGGAGACAGCAGCAGCAATGGGAGGCCGTACAGGGACCCATGAGACACTCTGGACCTGGCAGCAGCATGAGGAGGCGGTACGGGGGCCCATGGCAGATTACGGGCCTGGCAGCAGCAGCAATGGGAGGGCCCGTAATCTGCCAGCACCCTATGACAAAATGGAACCCACCAGCAGTGTGAGGAGACCTGAAAGTGGCACATGGCAGAGTGTGGCGATGGAGACAGCAGCAATGGGAGGCCGTACAGGGACCCATGACACACTCTGGACCTGGCAGCAGCATGAGGAGGCAGGTACGGGGGCCCATGGCAGATTACGGGCCTGGCAGCAGCAATGGGAGGCCCGTAATCTGCCAGCACCCTATGACAAAATGGAACCCACCAGCAGTGTGAGGAGACCTGAAAGTGGCACATGGCAGAGTGTGGCGATGGAGACAGCAGCAATGGGAGGCCGTACAGGGACCCATGAGAGACACTCTGGACCTGGCAGCAGCATGAGGAGGCAGGTCGGTACGGGGGCCCATGGCAGATTACGGGCCTGGCAGCAGCAATGGGAGGCCCGTAATCTGCCAGCACCCTATGACAAAATGGAACCCACCAGCAGTGTGAGGAGACCTGAAAGTGGCACATGGCTGAGAGTGTGGCGATGGAGACAGCAGCAATGGGAGGCCGTACAGGGACCCATGAGACACTCTGGACCTGGCAGCAGCATGAGGAGGCGGGGTACAGGGGCCCATGACAGATTACGGGCCTGGCAGCAGCATGAGGAGTCGGTACGGGGGCCCATGGCAGATTACGGGCCTGGCAGCAGCAATGGGAAGCCCGTAATCTGCCAGCACCCTATGACAAAATGGAACCCACCAGCAGTGTGAGGAGACCTGAAAGTGGCACATGGCAGAGTGTGGCGATGGAGACAGCAGCAATGGGAGGCCGTACAGGGACCCATGAGACACTCTGGACCTGGCAGCAGCATGAGGAGGCGGTACGGGGGGGCCCATGGCAGATTACGGGCCTGGCAGCAGCAATGGGAGGCCCGTAATCTGCCAGCACCCTATGACAAAATGGAACCCACCAGCAGTGTGAGGAGACCTGAAAGTGGCACATGGCAGAGTGTGGCGATGGAGACAGCAGCAATGGGAGGCCGTACAGGGACCCATGACACACTCTGGACCTGGCAGCAGCATGAGGAGGCGGTATAGGGGCCCATGGCAGAGTGGCGAAGCGTAAGCAGCTTAAATTGAAGGCCATACAGAGGCCTATGTTAAAAAATAATAACATGTTTGGGGCATGATTCATGGCGGATTTAGTCAGTTGTGTCAGGAACTGGTGGTTTGAAATCCAGACTAATCCACGCCTGATTCATTTTCACAAACGTGAGTCTCTCCACACTTTGGGTGGACAGTCGTGTCCTCCGCGGAGTTACAATACCTCCTGCCGCACTAAACACGCGCTCCGATGCCACGCTACTGGCCGGGCATGACAGCCTTTCAAGGGCAAATTCAGCTAGTTGGGGCCAAAGGTCAAGTTTCGTTGCCCAGTAGTCAAGGGGATTGTCTACCTCGGTTGGCAGGGTGCTGTCCAAGTAGGCCCGAGCCTGTTGTTTGAGGACCTGCTCCAGGTCCACCTGATGCTGCTGCTGCTGCTGAGGCTGGTTAGTAGTTTCCTCACTGCGCTGGTGAAGAAAGCTACTCATCATCGACTGCAGACTGAGGCAGCCGCTGCTGGTGGAGCTGCCACTGCTCCTACCACCACCCCACCCCTCCCTTGCTGCCATGGCAGCGGAACGCGAGCGCACAGGGCCCCACAGTGTCTGAGGATGGACGTTGGCGGAGAAAGGCAGAGACCAACTGACTACATAGGTGGTTTTTATAGTACGTTATTTTGGCCTCCCTCTCAGCAGGTGTGAAAAAGGCCACCATTTTTGAACGGACAGCCAGCAGCGAGGGTCCAACAAGGTGGACAGCCAAAAGTCATGCCTCTGTCTGATGGGGATTATTCGGCTGTCGCTACGCAAGCAACCGAGCATGCTATGGGCCATTTGTGCCAAGGAATGCGAGGGACTCCCTGCCTCCATCTCCACAGCATACTGCCACGGTGCGTCTGGGTCCTCTGTCTCCTCCTCCTCCTCCTCTACCAGATGCTCCTGCTCCTCCACTCCTGTCCGCTGAGTGAAAAAACCACCCATTTCACTCAATAATTCCTGAGCACCAATGTCCTCCTCTACCTCCTCCTCTTCTTCCTGTCCTGCCCCCACAGGGGTCATGTGGCGTTGAGATCTGTGCGCCACGTCTACCGCACCCTGACCAGCCATTGTTAACAGCATTTGTTCCAGGACGTGCAACAGAGGAATGACGTCGTTCATCCCATAGTCCTGCCGACTCACGAATAGCGTGGCCTCCTCAAAGGGCCTGAGCAAGCGGCAGGTGTCACGCATGAGCTGCCAATGGCTGACATCTAAGTTACACAGGGGAGTACCTTTATCCGCTTGTAACATCAGGAAATCGGTGATGGCCTTTCGCTGTTCGTAAAGGCGGTCTAACATATGTAGGGTTGAATTCCACCTTGTAGCAACGTCACAGCATGAGGAGTCGGTACGGGGGCCCATGGCAGATTACGGGCCTGGCAGCAGCAATGGGAGGCCCGTAATCTGCCAGCACCCTATGACAAAATGGAACACACCAGCAGTGTGAAGAGACCTGAAAGTGGCACATGGCAGAGTGTGGCGATGGAGACAGCAGCAATGGGAGGCCGTACAGGGACCCATGAGAGACTCTGGACCTGGCAGCAGCATGAGGAGGCGGGTACGGGGGCCCATGGCAGATTACGGGCCTGGCAGCAGCAATGGGAGGCCCGTAATCTGCCAGCACCCTATGACAAAATGGAACCCACCAGCAGTGTGAGGAGACCTGAAAGTGGCACATGGCAGAGTGTGGCGATGGAGACAGCAGCAATGGGAGGCTGTACAGGGACCCATGACAGATTACGGGCCTGGCAGCAGCAGCATGAGGAGGCGGTACAGGGGCCCATGGCAGATTACGGGCCTGGCAGCAGCAATGGGAGGCCCGTAATCTGCCAGAACCCTATGACAAAATGGAACCCACCAGCAGTGTGAGGAGACCTGAAAGTGGCACATGGCAGAGTGTGGCGATGGAGACAGCAGCAATGGGAGGCCGTACAGGGACCCATGACAGATTACGGGCCTGGCAGCAGCATGAGGAGGCGGTACAGGGGCCCATGACAGATTACGGGCCTGGCAGCAGCAATGGGAGGCCCGTAATCTGCCAGCACCCTATGACAAAATGGAACCCACCAGCAGTGTGAGGAGACCTGAAAGTGGCACATGGCAGAGTGTGGCGATGGAGACAGCAGCAATGGGAGGCCGTACAGGGACCCATGACACACTCTGGACACCTGGCCCAACATGGGCCCCCTGGCCACGCTTGACTTTCTGGCCACATAGTCGACATACGGCTACGTTTACTTCCTCGGGCGGCTTGACAAAAAATTGCCACACCGCCGAGTAGGAAACTTTGCCCCCGCTACTCCTCACTGGCTGACTGCTACTTCCTCCGTGCACACCGGCACCACTACTGGCCGTGGTGGTAGGCTGCAGTGGAGCTGGTGCTCTACTCCGTGGCCGTTTGCCTCCACTGACACTGCTGCGACCCTGCTGCCTCCTGGGCAACCCACCGACTGTTTTGCTCGCTGCCAAGCTGGCACCCTCTTCTCCTGATGATGCGGAAGCAATAGCCTGATGACGACTAGGCTGCCAAGTGCGATCAGCCTCATCATCATCAATTAGGGTCTCCGCCTCACTACTAGCCCCCTCGGCTGCGTGTGGGTCAGGAGACAGACCTGTCTCTAGACCGGCTACCGAGCCACTCTCCTCGCCTGGCTGCTGAAGAGGCGGATGTCTCCCCCCGTTCCTGACCGCCCTCTGTTAGCTCTTCCTCACTGTACAGTGGGGCTGAGCCCACAGCATGCGATACTTCGCTTTTTGAGGGAACACCAAAGGACAGGGGCAGGTCGAGGACACGTGATTTCAGTGGGCTTGCTCCCGGCCATGCCAACTAACGGTTGTGTCTGACGTACCCACCGACCGTTGGCTGTAGGTGTCAGAGGTGACCTGGGAAGAGGAAGACGACCGAGCCAACCAATCGATGACGGCAGGGTTGTTGGTGGAGACACGACCGCTGGATGACACCGGGAGCACTGGCCTCTGGCTGCGACTAGTGCTGCCTCGACCCCTTCCTCTGCTGCCACGTCTGCTCGCTCCTGAAACATTGCCTCCTCTGCCACTCCTCTGCGTGTTGTCTGACATACTCTTTAATTCAACGATTCTGTGTCCCTGAGTAACGA